TAGGTTTGGGGTTGGTGTGTACCTAGTGAAGGACGGACAACACTATGATGCCAGGCGACCCGAGCCACTCAGAGAGAGACGATGACCGGATCCTGTACAACCTTATCCAGAACAGGAACCAGACCCGCAGGGGCTCGCTGGTACCAGAGGAGGGACCCAGGGAGGGGGACAGGGAACACTTACTGCATGACAACAGAGAGTTTGGGTCCCTAAGTGGGAGAAACAACCCACTGGGCACACACTGGTTCAATCAACGTTCAATTGACGTCTGTGTCCAGTGAGAGGTGGACAAAAAGGTGGAGAAATCTGGGGAAAAGAGAGGCAGCGTGAAGTCATGCTAGATTGTCTGCTCTGTCTAATAGGTTTTGCAGGGCAGCATACAGCACTCTACCTCCATCAGCCAGTAGATGGTGCATTGAATGCCCTTTAGTATAATGTAGGCCTACATTATCCAACTGGGTACCATGCCTGTCCTCCATTGTTGTCACCTGTTTGTTGGGTGAATGTGGTGTTATCTCACATCAGGCTTACTCTAGTTGATTGACCTGTGTTTGTGGTGATAGTTGTGTACTAGGTTAATATGTTTTGTGTGTAACCCTGCACCCTTTCCCTCTGTAGGCGCACCGGCGTCTGAGTGTGGACATTGAGGGGATGAGAGATCTGCGTCGGGAGGTCAGGGACAAGTGGAAGATGATCCTGGAGAATTTAGGTGAGAGAGTAGGAATGGAAGGGTAAAATGAGGGTGATAGTGAACAAATGGAAGTGTAACATAAGGGTGATAGAGAATAAATGGAAGGTTAAAATGAGGGTGATGGAGAACAAATGGACGGGAAAAATGAGGGTGATAGAGAATAAATGGAAGGTTAAGATGAGGGTGATAGTGAACAAATGGAAGGGTAACATGAGGGTGATAGAGAACAATGGAAGGGTAACATGAGGGTGATAGAGAACCATGGAAGGGTAACATGAGGGTGATAGAGAACAATGGAAGGGTAACATGAGGGTGATAGAGAACAATGGAAGGGTAACATGAGGGTGATAGAGAACAAATGGAAGGGTAACATGAGGGTGATAGAGAACACTGGAAGGGTAACATGAGGGTGATAGAGAACAATGGAAGGGTAACATAAGGGTGATAGAGAACAATGGAAGGGTAACATGAGGGTGATAGAGAACAATGGAAGGGTAACATGAGGGTGATAGAGAACAATGGAAGTGTAGGATGAGAGAAAGGGAAAATGAATAAAATCTTGTCTCTGTAACCGTGAACTTTCATTGGCTCAGGGTTCATGGCGGAGGCGGAGTCTCTGCTGACGGTGTCTGCCAGTGCGTCATATGACCGTATGAGGAATGCCTCGGCGTCACGCACACTACTGCACACGCTCCACTCTGAGACATCTATCTTCAACACCCGGGAGGCCCCACCTGAGAGATACCTCTTCATCCTGGTGAGAACAGAAACTAACAGAGGAGAGAAACTGTGTATTATGGTTATAACGTCTTCCCCTTCACTTCCTTCTCCAAATCACTTCCTGTTTGATGATGATGATGATGACTCTCTTTCTTCCTCTTCGGGTCTTTTCTCCTCTTCCTTCACTCTTGGTTTTTCACCCACTCCATCTTCCTCTCACTTTCCCTCCTCTCTCCATCTTCCTCTCTCTTTCCCTCCTCTCTCATCTTCCTCCCTCTTCCCCTTCTCTCTCCTTTTCGTATAGGATCGTCTCATATACCTGGATGCTGCTGATGACTTCTTGGCGAAGGCTAGACGCTTCTACCCCAAGCGTGATACTGATGATGAAGATGAGGACAACCCGTTAGCCGTCAACCTGCCGTTGCTACTGGCCAGAGTGAACCGCACCATGAACGGAGGAGGGAGCGATGATGAGGATGAGAGGCTGGATGAGGGAGATGGGAGCGGAAGAGAAGAGGACAACTTCTAGACAGAACAGGTGCTGCAATGACCTTCGACGGTAGACAGGGGGCAGTAGTTAGTTGTTTATGTTGCAGAGTTGGGAGTATACAGTACCAGGATGTCTGATTCTGAATATACTCTGTTGAAAATACTCTCCCAATTTGCACTAACACTAGGGGCTTACAGATTGCACGAAAGAAATGTAAAGGTAATTTCTGATTGAACCGACATATGCAGCGTTTACCGTGAATGCAGTCTCCGCTAACACAGGAACAGTGCCTTTACATTTCAATCACGCTGTAACGCTGAACTTCCGCAATACGGATTGAATTGAGCCCTAGGTTTGACCAAAAATATACAGCTTTCCTTTCCTCGTCATCAGAACCACGATCCAATATGATTCTGTTTTCCTTCTTTTTCTGTTTAGGCAGACTTAGCTGGGACTCAGTTATATTAGGGAGAGTTTTGGATGTTATCACCCTGTCATTTTTTATCCACCAGACAGTGTTAGTTACCCAACTCCCTGGGTCTGTTCATTATTGGTCTCCGCCAGGGAACACAGTGGACACAGTAAACACAGCACTGAAACCCGTAGGGCACAGCCGTCCTGCTCCACATCAGCACTTTGTCTCATGATTATCAGCACTTGTTTTATCTAGTCACAAGATAGTCTTTCGAAAACCATTAGATTACCTTGGAATAAATATGTATTAAACTAATTAAATACTTTTTTAGTTGTCAGTTTCCTTACGGACCATGCTTATTAAGAGGTACTACTGTATTTTTGTTCATGAAGTTTACAGAGATTAGTTTAGTAACAAAATGACTCAACTTTGAATGAGTGTGTGTGTCTGTATGAACAGTGGAGGTTGCAGTATGTGTGTATCTAATGGTCACTTTAAGTACATGTCAAGACTGTGAGAGGATTTGGGATGTTTTGGTGAGTTGAAGGGGATGCAGTATGTGTCGAGTGTTCTATTGTAGTTGATATGGAAAATAAAGTGGCAACCTGATACTGCAGAGGAAGTTGTGTGTGTGTGTGTGTGTGTGTGTGTGTGGGGGGGGGGGGGGGGGGGGGGGGGGGCAGGGTTAATGTGTCCACAGGGAGCTCTAAACTCCCAGTCACATGTCGGCATGGTGTGGTTACAGCTCCGACACTGTGGCTTACCAATGCCTGCTGTGAGCCACGCCCCACAGAGATAGCCTCTGACCCAATCTGGCCTGTCCTGGGCCTGCTTGTCCCTCTGGGGCCACAGGGGGTGTGTGGACGAGGATGTTGTTGTTTTGATGGTCAGCTGTCTGTAATGTTACGTGAGACTGACACTGGTGAGGGTACATCTCTCAACACGGCAGCAGTCTGTTTCTAAGAACACAGACAGACAGACAGACAGACAGACAGACAGACAGACAGACAGACAGACAGACAGTGGCATCATGTCCATAGGGGGAACAAAGGCACGCGCTCCCTCAGATTTGTCCTGTTTTTACAATTTTCAGATGTTAAATTAATTACTCAACTTCATTTTAATCATAATTATTCATCAAAAAATATCTGTCAGAGGTATTTTGCGGAGGGGACACACTGACTGGACCAGGCAAAGAGTACCCCCCCTCTATTCTCCATAGTAAGTGGTTCCTTCCAAAGTGCACAGAGCAAAGAGATGCCTGGACAAGATGCTGGATACTCTCGAAGCTAATGGTTGCAGAACCGTCAGTGGAAGAGAGAGTGTAGAGTGACACACACAGCGTTTGATTTGATTTTAGCTGCCAGTGATTGGCAGGAGGTATGTTTGTAAATGAATTTGATCAAGCTATGTAGTCTATTGATTCCTTCTTGATGAATAAATAAAACAAAAATGTTTTGTTGGTTCTCTGTAATACTACAGATGTAGGATCTTAATTTGATGACTCTTGTTGCTGAGAATGTTCCTGCACAGCAGGAAATGCACATTTGTAGTGTGTTTCAGTTTTAAAAAGGCTTCTAAAGTTTGTAATTTCCACTTTGAAATTTCAGACTTGATTTGCCCTGACAAAAAACGAATCAACCCCTACTAAAATGGTCATTAATTATAATCCACATAATAATTCACATTTCCTGTTGCTCAGGAATATATTCCTGCTGTAGCAAACTGGTTCAAATTAAGATCCTACATCCGTAGCCACCTAGCAATTTTATGAAGTTGGAAATTCATAGACAGAGCTTTTGAATTCATAAACACAGTGAATTTGAATTCACTGTGTTTATGAATTCATAGACATTTTCCACTGTGAAATTCATAGACAGAGCTATACATGCAAAGATTGCCAGACATTTAGATTGTTCTTTTAAAAAATCTAATGACAATAAATAGATACACAATTGACTTAAATTGATTTAATTATTGGCTTATGGCACTATATACCAGTGTATCAGTTGTACTAAACTCCTAAGGCATAACACTTATTAAAGAATCAATGTCCATTGTTAATTTAAATGACAATTGAACAGGTAAAGAGGTAAGCTTAGATAACCTATGAAGAAAAATATACATATTTAAAAGCTGTTTCAGGTGTTTGAAAAATGCAGCATTCTCCAACCACCCCATCGCGTACTTCGTGCATGACGAACCTGAACACAATCATTATCCCTCCCTCTGTCTGATCTTAGTTTTAAAGTGCAGTCTCATCTCTTCTCGCTCTATATCTCTGAGCTCGAGTTTTAGACAGCTCAGAGATAGAGAGAGAGAGGGAGCAGCTAGAGAGATAGAGAGACCAGCAGCTAGAGGCTGACTGTATAGTATGTAAAACGAGAGAGAGTACGCCTCTCTATCTGTCGCTCTCTCTAGCCGTCCTCTTTCTGAAGCTCATTAAGTGTCATCCCAGCGCTGAGGCTGACTGTATAGTTATGTAACAGACCAGAGAGAGCGCCTGGCACTGTGGAGGGGATGCAGGGGGCAGAATGATCGCCTGGCAGGATCACCTTATTCGTCACCTTAGGAATTCACACGAAGGCCATTAGAATAGTGTCGTCACAATTAAGTCACAAACAGAGGAACTTTGAGTCCCCATGCTGGTCCCTATCACACCTACTGTCAGGCAGCTGCTTCCCCACCAGACATGTGACTTGTGCTGTTGTTGTGTGCTTAAAGGCCCAATGCAGCCGTTATTATTTCAATATCAACGCATTTCTGGGTTACAAATAAATAACTTGCTGTGATTGTTTTCAATTAAAATGGTAAAAAATTAACAAAAACAGCTTCTTAGCAAAGAGCAATGTCTCAAGCAAGAATTTTGCTAGGGCTGTCTGGGAGTGAGGAGAGGAAAACTGAAAACTAGCTGTCATTGGCAGACAGGTTTGGAACTCTCTTTCTTTTTGGTCTATCAACTAATTTACCGCCTGGTGATGTCACCAGGCATGCCAAAACTCCATCCCACCAAAACAGGCTGAGATTTCAGGGTGTCTTTTCAAACAGCTCTTACACTAAAAGGTCATTATCATAATTTTCACAATTTCACAGTATTGTTCCAACCTCATAGTGTGGAAGTATATATTAAACACTCAGGAAAATCACGTTTTTGACTGCACTGGGCCTATAAACAAATGCTTGGCACTCACAGGCCAGGGGTCAATGTTACTGTAATACTGTTTTTTTTTATCGCTTTGGTGGAATTTTCACAAGTATGTGGTACATTTTCATAACTCTTAGTACAAAACTCAAAACAGATCGTCAAAAAGTCAGTTGTTTCAAAACTCTAAGCATATTTTCAATTGACTAAGTACAACACACAAAATCATACAGTTACTTTTTCACCAAACTTAATCAGTGTTTCATCTATAAAATAAGTTTCACATTGCAATACATGTTCATATAAAGTAATTGCCTTTCACAATGCAATGTTCACATTACTTTTTATTGTATTCTTTACATTTTACATGTAAACTGGTTTGTCTACTACAGATTTTGAGAACTACATCATGAAAATGTATGGCTGTAAAGTAGAAACATAAAAAGTATGATATATTCTAGAATGTACTACTATGATAATGACTATTATGATTTTACTTCACACTAAGGGGGGTTCACACTGCTTTACTAAAATTGCATTGGCTAACACAGTACTGTAATACCGTAATACATGCCATTTACGTAGAAGACACTTTTATCCAAAGTGACAACAGTCCACACATTTTGGTATGTGACCCCAGTGGGAATTGAACCCACAACTCTGGTGTTGCTAGTGCCATGCTTTTATGAACTGAGCCACATACAGGAAAACTACAATACTGTTAAATACAATACACGATTACAATACAGGTGGAAGATGTATGATTGCCATCCCCACGAGCGCACCACCCTTCTTCAGGCCATGGAGGAGGCATGCATTGATTTCAATCCAGACCTATGTCAGGCTTGAATTCGCCATGCTAAAATGTTTTTCCCCAAGTGCATAAACAATGAGGATATTTACTGCGATTTTGATGAGAACCTATGGCCAAATGCTTGAGGCAGGCTTGATGCAAACTATTGCCTGTTAAACATTATGTTTATTTCATTTGATTACATTGTGAAATATGTCTTCAATGATCACACCTTTGATTACACATGGGATAGAAATTATGGAAATGTGATGTTCAGCCTAATGTGAAAACAATGTAATGTACTGAATTTACAGTACTTTAGCATACTACATTCAAAGGGCAATTTTGAAACAGGTATCTTACATTTTTTGCTATTGGATTAACTGGTTGATAAAATAACTACATTGAGAAGATATCATTATGTTGTGTTCTGGTGATTAAACCAATGTACTCATTATATTTCACAGTAAACGTATATTTTGAATCAATGGTTGTGTGGTGATAGATGTCTCCAGACAAAATGAATGCACAATGAAAGGTTTTAATGTGTGATCAACCTTTCTTCAAGTCCCATAACCACTTTATTTGAGTTGGCCTTGAGTAAGGGCTTATCTTTTGTCCCCACTGTATCATGTAATGACTTTGACACCACAATATAGTTTCAGAAATTATTTTGTACATTGAGACTTAGGGAGTTCTTCTGTCCCATAAATGATAAGACTCCAAATTTGGATGTGTCAATAATGGGTGAGAGGAGTGTTCAGGCTATAGGTGACACAATAGAGAATGACATTTCCCACAGAACGAATACCCCTTTTCGAGACAAATCCACCTTTTGTCCGCCAAGATACAGAAATCCCTCCCTAGAAACATACTGCAGATTGGTGGAAAAAGATGTGTCTCAGATTCTGAATAAGAAACGAGAATACAGAGTCTACAATCATCTCCCTTAAGAACAGATACAAGCATAGGATGATTTAAAAAGGATTCCACTTTGATAGGGCGTAATGCTGATAAGGGCAGAGCTGTGGTGCTGTTAAACCGTGATGACTATGTGAATTCCTCTCCTTCATCAATTCAAGCAGTGAACATTTGATGCACATTAATCAAGTTTTCTTGACATTTTGATTAAGAGTGGCTTTATCACTTGACCTATACAGGAAGCCGACGGACAGGAATTCCCTGTTACGCGGAGACAGCTTCCACCCTACACATCTAAAAAAGAGCCTCTCCATCAGCCAATACAGTCGCATACGCAGGATTCGTAGTACACAGAGTGACTATGACAAACAAGCCGACTGTCTGGATGAGCGTTTCAGACAGCGGTGTTACCCAGAGGGATCGTTATAAAAATATGACCCAGGATGACAGCCTCACGCCAAAACCACCCCGCCCTCCTGACCAACGCGTTCAATGCTTCTTTCAGTACTCCCCACTTGGTAAACAGTTCGACCACATCATTAAAAAACACTGGCACATCTTGAGCACTGATCCACAGCTGGAACAGAGGTTTAAAGAACCTCCTCGGGTAGTCTTCAGACACGCCCCCAACATCAGTCAAATGGTGGTGAGGTCTGATCTTCCACCAGTGCCACGTAGTACCTTTCTAGACAATGTGCGGGACGGTAATTATAGATGTGGCGGACGAACCCAGTGTCACTTTACGAACAAATGCACAATGTTCAATCGCCCTATTATGGGCAAGGCTATTAAAATTAAAATTAAGGGCATCATTAGCGTACTAGGGGGTAACTAAGAACAATGTCTAATTGCTGACACAAAAAAGTAACGTTTGGAAAAGAAATGAAATGTGGATGAATGTCATGCTTAGGCGAATAAACTAGAAAGGGAAATAAATGGCTACAGTTTACACTTTTTTAGTTATTTCATGACATTTTGTTTTTAGAAAAGGGGCGTTTTTTTAAAGGACCAGGGGTGAGCACTCAGTTTGTTTGTTTGACCTGGCGAAGATCCGTTTTGGATCCAAACGTTGTCAATAAAGCGGTGAATTGGGAGCTTCAACCGTGTGCGGGCCTTCTTGTTCTTTACTTGCGTTACAAATGTTACTAGTTTGGAGTTTTGTATTAAGAGTTTTTAAAATTCGCCACATATTTGTGAATATAGCACCAAATCGATAAAAAAAAAAGCTGTAACACTGACTCACATGACAGTCACTAATGTACTGTATGTGCTAGTTGTATGAGTGTAAAAAAAAAAGTAAGACTGATTATCTTATAAAATGTCTGAACAGATACTGAGTGATTATCTTATCAAATGTCTAAATTGATTTAGTTCTATGTTTTTTGAAAAAGAGAATGACCTCACTGCAGAAGTATGCCTCGAGACTTAATAGGTTTCTGCAATGGGAATCCTGAACTGAAGTGACGTTTAATGGTTACCATGGCTGCATAACACATAGTGTGTGTGTGTGTGCGTGCTTGCGTCTGCAATGTGATATCTTACATACATTGTGTCATTAAGGTACATGTCTTAGACGTGAGAATAGGAATCTATTGCTGTACTTATTGCTGTATCTAGTTTCAATATTAATTTGAAATCAAAGGATACATGTATAACTTTATATGTATTCTTGCTATGCAGGTGTTACATATAGGATGACATCAGTGCCTGATGTGGAAGAGTTAGTCATTGAAAGAGTGACTGGTAGTGACACCAAGGCAACATTGCATGTGTGTGGGTGTTTTGTGTGTGTGTGTGTGTGTGTGTGTGTGCGTGCGTGCATATGTGTGTGTGCGTGAGAGAGAGAGAAAATCTTTAAGACTGTAACCTGAGAGACTCTTGGCTGGAGTGGGTCTCTGTCATCAGACTAATAAATCAGAGATAGAAGTCACTGTCCATGACAGACGAAACACTGATACAGCACAGCTAATCAGCTAGATAACAGATTCACAAGGTACTCCAGTCAAATAAAAATTATTTGTGGCTGTAGTTTATACAAAAAAACAGTTGGTCCCTTGGTCAATGCCTTTGCCTGGTATCTGTTCCGTAGCACGTATAGCCTTGCATTATCCAAAACAGACTGACCACCTGCCTACAGAACATCACCTTTGATCTTGAGTCTCTAAAAGGAACTGTTACCCCAAATATAGCAAGGCCGTACATGCCAGGGCTCTCCATGGTTACTGAAAGAGACAACCCTAAACTCAGCAGCTTCACACTGCTAGCTACCAATATAACTGTTAGTTTCACAATCTGTATGTATGTTTATGTTAATATACAGTATACAGTACCAGTCAAAAGTTTGGACACACCTACTCATTCAAGGGTTTTTCTTTATTTTTACTATTTTCTACATTGTAGAATAATAGTGAAAACATCAAAACTATGAAATAACACATTTGGAATCATGTAGTAACCAAAAAAGTGTTAAACAAATCAAAATATATTTTATATTTGAGATTCTTCAAATAGCCACCCTTTGCCTTGATGACAGCTTTGCACACTCTTGGCATTCTCTCAACCAGCTTCACCTGGAATGCTTTTCCAACAGTCTTGAAGGAGTTCCCACATATGCTGAGCACTTGTTGGCTGCCGTCCGACTCATCCCAAACCATCTCAATTGGGTTGAGGTAGGGGGATTGTGAAGGCCAGGTCATCTGATGCAGCTCTCCATCACTCTCCTTCTAGGTAAAATAGCCCTTACACAGCTTGGAGGTGTGCTGGGTCATTGTCCTGTTGAAAATCAAACAATAGTCCCACTAAGCCCAAACTAGATGGGAAACCAGTGTGCCTAAATAAATCACAGACAGTGTCACCTGCAAAGCACCCCCACACCATAACACCTCCTCCTCCATGCTTTATGGTGGGAACTACAAATGTGGAGATCATCTGTTCACCCACACCACGTCTCACAAAGACACGGCGGTTGGAACCAAAAATCTCAAATTTGGACACCAGACCAAAGGACACATTGCCACCGGTCTAATGTCCATTGCTCATGTTTCTTGGCCCAAGCAGGTCTCTTCTTCTTATTGGTGTTTCTTTGCAGCAATTCGACAATGAAGGCCTGATACACACAGTCCCCTCTGAACAGTTGATGTTGAGATGTGTCTGTGACTTGAACTCTGTGAAACATTTATTTGGGCTGACATTTTTGAGGCTGGTAACTCTAATGAACTTATTCTCTGCAGCAGAGGTAACTCTGGTCTTCCATTCCTGTGGCGGTCCTCATGACAGCCAGTTTCATCATAGGGCTTGATGGTTTTTGCGACTGTACTTTAAGAAACTTTCAAAGTTCTTGAAATTTTCCGTATTGACTGACCTTCATGTCTTAAAGTAATGATGGACTGTCGTTTCTCTTTGCTTATTTGAGCTGTTCTTACCATAATATGGACTTGGTCTTTTACCAAATAGGGCTATCTTCTGTATACCCCCCCTACCTTGTCACATCACAACTGATTGTCTCAAACGCAATTCCACAAATTAACTTTTAAGAAGGCACACCTGTTAATTGAAATACATTCCAGGTTACCTCATGAAGCTAGTTGAGACAATGCCAATAGTGTCATCAAGGCAAAGGGTGGCTATTTGAAGAATCTCAAATATAAAATATATTTTGATTTGTTTAACACTTTTTTGGTTACTACATGATGTCTTATTTGATAGTTTTGATGTCTTCACTATTATTCTACAATGTAAAAAAAAAATTAAATAAAGAAAAACCCTTGAATGAGTAGGTGTGTCCAAACTTTTGACTGGTAGTGTATGTACATTTACACTGAGTATCCCAAACATTAGGAACACTTTTATAATATTGAGCTGCCTTTTGCCATCAGAACAGCCTCAATTCGTCAGGGCATGGACTCTACAAAGTGTTGAAAGTGTTCCACAGGGATGCTGGCCCATGTTGACTCCAATGCTTCCCACAGTTGTGTCAAGTTGGCTGGATGTCCTTTGGGTGGTGGACCATTCTTGATACACACGGGAAACTGTTGAGCGTGAAAAACCCAGCAGCGTTGCAGTTCTTGACACAAACCGGTGCGCCTGCGGCCTGGCACTTACTACCATACCCCGTTCAAAGGCACTTACATTTTTTGTCTTGCCCAATCACCCTCTGAATGGCACATACACAATCCATGTCTCAATTGTCTCAAGGCTTAAAAATCATTCTTTAACCTGTCTCCTCCCCTTCATCTACACTGATTGAAGTTATTTAACAAGTGACATCATTAAGGGATCATAGCTTTCATCTGGATTCACCTGGTCAGTCTATGTCATGGAGGTCGTCCTCTGTAGCTCAGCTGGTAGAGCACGGCGCTTGTAACGCCAGGGTAGTGGGTTCGATCCCCGGGACCACCCATACACAAAAATGTTTGCACGCATGACTGTAAGTCGCTTTGGATAAAAGCGTCTGCTAAATGGCATATTATGGAAAGAGATGTTAATGTTTTGTATGCTCAATCTATGTATTCTCTCTTGGAGCAATAGAGTTTCCCCTCAGCACCCAGCATTATTAGCAATGGCTGATCTCTTTCGACATTAGTGTTCTGCCACTGGCTGCTATATGTACATCAAGACCTCTATTAAGCTCTATTAAGATGCCAGCTCTCAGAAGTCCCCCCCTGTGTGTTCGTGTTTGTTTACATGTGTCTGAACACTGGGTCAGATAGTGCTCTTAAGATGGAAACCTTCCACTTAGTTTGATAACCGGATGTCCCTCAACTTAGCGTGTTGGGCCGGGGTGATTATAGAGGGGATTGGGGGTATAATTTGGGTATCAGGGGATTCTGAGTACAATTACCAGTAACCCACCCACTCCTATCTCTTTTTTCCGCACTCTCTTTCTCTCTCCCCCAGCCACCTCCCTCTCTCTTTCAGATGGGCTCTTGGTGTCAGGTGTCAGCACACACTAGCTGTGGAGTGACAACATGGCTTAGAAATAGCAGCAGGGCTTCTATAAAAGACATAGACGGGCATGGTCCCAGACACAAACAGCAGAGACCACCAGACCATCACCACAGAGGCAAGAGAGAGGAGTACCATCACAGAGTACCTGGGCTAGCAACTACAGACAGACAGATAGTCCAGAGAGAAGAAGCCTGAACACAGAGATACCAAGACAGACGGACAGACAGAGGAGTCTGAGAAACTAACGGAGGTGATTAAACCGATAGAAGGACAGAACTTCACCCACACAGAACAGTGATAATGCAGGTGTGTACCGTTCTTGAGAAGCGTGCTGGGGCTGTGGTGGGGGCTGAGCTGGCCTGCAGCGTACGGGAGGAGAACCAGGCTCAGAGGGAGAGCTACAAAGCCGACTGGAACAGTGTTAACATGAAGACCCGGGCCATGGACAGGTGAGTCCCAGCCTTTAGACAAACTGTATTCATTACTTCTGGTAGATGTAACACATTGAACAATATTAAGTAATTGATTCTTATATAAAATCTTGAATAACAATAAAGCAATACGTCCCCCTATATTATAATAACTGTCAGGCTAATCTATCAGCTGACATTACATTTAATGATTTTCATTTAGCTGGTAGGATTCTCAGCTGATACTGAGAGACCATTAGAGTTTGAAAATCACTGAGCAATGTCCAACTCATCTCTCCACAGGCAGACAATGAACATGAATGATGACTCTCGTCGGGAGACCTACACTAGGCAGTGGGAGGCTCGCTCCCTGGCCCAGGCCTGTCCCTGTGGGGTGTACAGAGTGGGCACCATGGAGAGGGGTGTGAGGGAGCACCAGCTCCTTCCCAAGAGGAACACCTTGCCCCTGCCCATCTTCACCCCTGCACAGCTGGGCATCCGGCTGGGCCGTGGAGCACCACACACCCAGGAGGACCTCCGTCCCTTCCCCATCCCCGACGGTGCCTGCCCTGGCAAGAAGGCAGTGGTCGAAATCACACAAGACCTGCCCCCCATCAAGCCACTCAAGATGGAGTTTGCAAAGGTGCCCAGAGCACTGGGCCGCTCCGTGTCACAGGAGGTCCAGAGAGGGTGAAGGAAGAGGAAAGGAAGGAGAGAAGGAGAGAAGCTGAAAGAATGGATGTTAGGGATAAAGGTTAATTGTGGGGCTCAGCCCATCAGAAAAGCATGGAGGGATGTATATAGATTTATTCTTAGTGACATTTATTCCATCTCTATTTATTATTTATTTATTGCATCTCTATTCCCTAGTGGTCCTCTGTAGCTCAATTGGTAGAGCATGGCGCTTGTAACACCATGGTAGTGGGTTCGATCCCTGGCACCACCCATACGTAAAAATGTATGCACACATGACTGTAAGTTTAGTAAAGCCGTCACACAGTGCATACCTTTCCTGTTTCATTAGGTATTACATGTATACTACAGATATGTCCAATGTTATACAAGGTATTGTTTGCTTAGAGATCTGATAGCATCTTTTGATTGACAGAAAGGCAGACAAATGCTCTGGGGTGTGTTCTTTCAGCTGTGCCAGAAGCTAATCTCCCTGCTGACTGGAAAAAAACAGACTGGCCTTGTGGCCTTGTCACTTCTATACACCGAATGAACTGCCCCTGCCCCCCTGTCTGGCTGAAGCCAGTTGTAGATAGGCCACATTGCATAGTATGGCATTCTGACCGCATTATATGCAGTGGTACATTTTACCCCACTTGTCAAACAATGGCAGGATGTTTTATATGCTAAACCAATGTATGTATGAAGATTAATTTATTGGTGTATTCATGTGGAATGACCATGCACAGATGAGGGAGGTGAGAGAAGGGAAATACGAAGATATCAAAGATGCTTCAAAAGTGACAGAGTGAGAGAGCAGAAGATAATTGGAACTGTAGAGAGGAAATGAACAAGAAAGTGGGCACGGAGGGAGGGGTGGACTCAACATTTACATTTTACATTTACATTTTAGTCATTTAGCAGACGCTCTTATTAAGAGCGACTGACAGTTAGTGAGTGCATACATATATATATTTTTTCATACCAACATACCTTGGCATCCAGCCCTCTCTTTTGTAACAATGGAGAGCTGGTGAGCCTTTAGACCTCCAGAAGTCCTTGACACACTCTAATCCTGGGTGAGAGGACAGAACGGTACAACATGATCCCACGCTGGGAACCCAGACAAAGGAGCCCACTGGGCACAGACGTCAATTCAATGTCTATTCCACGTTGGTTCCACGTCATTTCAATAAAATGACGTGGAAACAACGTTGATTCAACCAGTGTGTGCCGAGTGGGAGGTGAGTGTGTGCTGACATACAGTGGGGAAAAAAAGTATTTAGTCAGCCACCAATTGTGCAAGTTCTCCCACTTAAAAAGATGAGAGAGGCCTGTAATTTTCATCATAGGTACACGTCAACTATGACAGACAAAATGAGAAAAGAAATTCCAGAAAATCACATTGTAGGATTTTTAATGAATTTATTTGCAAATTATGGTGGAAAATAAGTATTTGGTCAATAACAAAAGTTTCTCAATACTTTGTTATATACCCTTTGTTGGCAATGACACAGGTCAAACGTTTTCTGTAAGTCTTCACAAGGTTTTCACACACTGTTGCTGGTATTTTGGCCCATTCCTCCATCAAGATCTCCTCTAGAGCAGTGATGTTTTGGGGCTGTCGCTGGGCAACACGGACTTTCAACTCCCTCCAACGATTTTCTATGGGGTTGAGATCTGGAGACTGGCTAGGCCACTCCAGGACCTTGAAATGCTTCTTACGAAGCCACTCCTTGGTTGCCCGGGCGGTGTGTTTGGGATCATTGTAATGCTGAAAGACCCAGCCACGTTTCATCTTCAATGCCCTTGCTGATGGAAGGAGGTTTTCACTCAAAATCTCACGATACATGGCCCCATTCATTCTTTCCTTTACACGGATCAGTCGTCCTGGTCCCTTTGCAGAAAAACAGCCCCAAAGCATGATGTTTCCACCCCCATGCTTCACAGTAGGTATGGTGTTCTTTAGATGCAACTCAGCATTCTTTGTCCTCCAAACACGACGAGTTGAGTTTTTACCAAAAAGTTATATTTTGGTTTCATTTGACCATATGACATTCTCCCAATTCTCTTCTGGATCATCCAAATGCACTCTAGCAAACTTCAGACGGGCCTGGACATGTACTGGCTTAAGCAGGGGGACACGTCTGGTACTGCAGGATTTGAGTCCCTAGCGGCGTAGTGTGTTACTGATGGTAGGCTTTGTTACTTTGGTCCCAGCTCTCTGCAGGTCATTCACTAGGTCCCCCGTGTGGTTCTGGGATTTTTGCTCACCGTTCTTGTGATCATTTTGACCCCAAGGGGTGAGATCTTGCATGGAGCCCCAGATCGAGGGATATTATCAGTGGTCTTGTATGTCTTCCATTACCTAATAATTGCTCCCACAGTTGATTTCTTCAAACCAAGCTGCTTACCTATTGCAGATTCAGTCTTCCCAGCCTGGTGCAGGTCTACAATTTTGTTTCTGGTGTCCTTTGACAGCTCTTTGGTCTTGGCCATAGTGGAGTTTGGAGTGTGACTGTTTGAGGTTGTGGACAGGTGTCTTTTATACTGATAACAAGTACAAACAGGTGCCATTAATACAGGTAACGAGTGGAGGACAGAGGAGCCTCTTAAAGAAGAAGTTACAGGTCTGTGAGAGCCAGAAATCTTGCTTGTTTGTAGGTGACCAAATACTTATTTTCCACCATAATTTGCAAATAAATTCATTAAAAATCCTACAATGTGATTTTCTGGATTTTTTTTCCTCAATTTGTCTGTCATAGTTGACGTGTACCTATGATGAAAATTACAGGCCTCTCTCATCTTTTTAAGTGGGAGAACTTGCACAATTGGTGGCTGACTAAATACTTTTTTTCCCCACTGTATCTGGATGGTCCCGGATCATGACTCAAGTCATTGAAATAGACTGACTACCTGTATGATCAAGACGTCTATATTTAAACAAAGTGTCCTTTAACTGTGTATGATCTACCCATCTAGCTGTGTGCTAATGTTGACATCTGATGTTAGTGAACAGATCATACAGTTTTACATTCAGCATCACTCCGTCAAAGGAAATATAGTATTCTTTCTAACGAAGATATCATCTACATATAGTTCAGGATGTTGTGGATCCCTGGAAATAAATTGAATTAATGTAAACATTACAGTTTTGAAAACATAGCTTGTCCCGGGAATGGGGTAAATTGAGCCAGGGGCTAGGTAAGTTGAGCCATTTACACATTTCTGTACTGAATGAAATATTACCACTACCTTTTTAAAACCATGTCTATCTTTATTTCCCAAACACAATTCAACACCATCACAATCACTTTTTTGTCTTTTAGTAATTTTAAGGATCTTTTAACACAGGCTTAACACCTAACTTGTTACTTTTTTTATCACTTTTAACATAGGCCAGGCCCTGTTGTTACCTCATATCCCAGTGATAATGCCTTTCATTACGCCTGTGAAGAAAACACTTCAATTTGCTCAACTTGCCATTGGCTCAACTATTGACTCAACTTACCCCAAGGCAAGCATTTTGACTATATTAGCTCACACAGCTACAAGGATGCACTTTCATGCTAGCTTTAGGACCTCATATTGAAGCTTATAGAGACCCCAAATGATGTATAGAAAAAATGTTCCATGTGGTTTCTTCCTTCACAGACTCCATGAAATGATGACCTCTTCCTAAATATTTGGTCAAATTATTCATTTTGTGTATGGTTTCCTAGAAAGAAAGGCAGCTCAACTAACCCCTTCCTCCATTTATCCCACTCTCCCCTATCTGTTTTCAGAATTATTTTTGTATAATTAAATCTCAAGTGCTTTTCACTTTCTCTGTGTGTTGACCTGTCTTAATAAAAAAAGTTGAGTACAACCATCACAAAGAACACCGCACACACGCACACACACACACACACACACACAGACACACACACACACACACACACACACACACAGAGAGAGAGAGAGAGAGAGTAAATGGGGTGTGGTGATGATAGATTAATCTATGCCTGACTGATTATCAGCTGTAAACAACATGGCTAACTCATAATCTTGCACCTACAGGATTCTGTTCAGGCAGCAACAGCTGAGGTGGGTTAGACACTTCAACATACAGCTTTATTAGTGGGGTAGAATAAATATGGTCAAGCTCTGGACTAAGGATAGTACAGATGTAGGACTTAATTTGAGCAAGTTTGCTACAGCAGGAAAATAATCCTGCATTAACAAGACATTTGAATTATTATGTGTATTATAATTTATGGACATTTTTGTAGGGGCTTATACATTTTCTGTAAGGAAAATCAAGTCTGAAATTTGAAAGTGGAAATTACAAACTTCAGAAGATTTCTCAAACATCAAATACACTACAAGTTTTACATTTCCTAAAAGTTGCCCTGCAACAGGGTGATCAAATTAGTACCCAACATCTTACCGGAAATGTACAACTTGTAGACTGACTGAGCAACAAGTAACTGGACGTCTCTACTGAATTCTTGCTTGTACGTTGGGTACATAGTATACTGTAACAATCTTTCCCCCCGTCACAATTTTATGTCCATGTCATCTCTATTTCTATATTTTCCCCCAGAAGGTTACTATCTCCATTGGCTCTCTGCCCAGGACACAATGCTCCACTCTCGATCCACATACTGTAACCTCTCTACTACTTTCTCTCCTCTGTACCTTCATGTATGATCTTTCCTTCCAACTCCCAGTTTGTCCAACTTGGATTGTTTATTTTTTCTTTCTGTCTTTCTCTCCCTCTCTCTATCCTTTTCTCTGCCCTCCCCCTTGTTTCTCTGTTATGGGGTCTAGTGTGGCTCAGTGTAAGGGTCTAGGTATTATTAGCAGGGTAAACACTGCTATCACTAGAGAGACAGAGCCAGAGAGACAGCCGTATCTGCCTGTTCTTCTCCTCTGAGCTCTTAATCCCTCACTGTTTAATCAGAGCTTTGGGTCTTCTGGTCCGCTCCCTTTCCCCCCCATCTAGAACATTACCCCCTCTACCACCGCTACACCCCAAAC